CCCCCCCCCGCACCCTCCTGTCCAGCCCTCCTTCTGCTACTGTAAGGAAAATCGTTAATGATAGAAGGAGACTTCATTTGTCAGGAAGGAGGACATGTCATTTAGTAGGAAACTTCAGCCTGAAAAGAGAGAAATTAAATCCTCTGTTTGTTCTATGACTACATAAATAAAACAAATGTTGAATTTTTCCTTTATCTTTCAGCACATTGTGTTGGAACCACTGAATGGAAACACAAGTCTTGGATTGAGTTTCCTGCCGTTAGGTTGTCTAGTGTTGTTCCTCTGAGCTATGGATAACTTGACAATAATCTGATATTAAAGATAATTAATTGAACAAGGTCTGATCTATTTCCCTCTAGCTGGTTTTGACAAGCTACTGCTTTACTAGAACTCAGTACAGAACATGAGCAAGAACTTCTTTTCCAGCCACATTTTTACACTACATGTAAAGTTCAGGAACTAATTACTATCAGAAGATTGTAGAGGCAGATAGTATAGAATCATAGAAAATGAGGGTTGGAAGGGACCTCAGGAGGCCATCTAGTCCAACCCCCTGCCCAAGGCAGGCCCAGCCTCAAGTAGATCATCCCAGCCAAAGTTTTGTCTAGCTGGTCTTAAAAACCTCCAAGGATGGAGATTCTACCACCTCTCTGGGTATCCTTTTCCAGTGCTTTACAACCCTCCTAGTGAAAAAATTCTTCCTAATATCTAACCTAAACTTCCCTTGCTGCAACTTGAGGCTATTGCTCCTTGTTCTGTTATCTGTCACCACTGAGAAGTCTAGCTCCATCCCCTTTCATACGAGCCTTCAGGTAGTTGAAGGCTGCTATTAAAGCTTCTCAGTCTTCTCTTTTGCAAGCTAAATAAGCCCAATTCCCTCAACTTCTCCTCAGAAGGCATGTGCCCCAGGCCCCAGACCATTTTTGTGGCTCTCCACTGGACTCTTCAGTTTGTCCACATCCTTTCTCTAGTGGGAGGCCCAAAACCGAACACAATACTTCAGATGTGGCCTCACCAGTGCTGAATAGAGGGGAATCATCACTTTCCTTGATCTGCTGGTAACACTCTTGCCAATACAGCCCAGTATGCCATTTGCCTTCTTCGCAACAAGGGCACACTGTTGGCTCATAAACAGCTTACTGTGCACGATACCCGCCAGGTCCTTTTCTGCAGAGCTTCTGCCCAGCCAGTCAGCCTCCAGCCTGTACTGGTGCATGGGGTGGTTCCATCCTAAGTGCAGGACTTTGCACTTGTCCTTATTGGACCTCATGAGATGTTTTGGTCCAATCCTTCAATTTGCCTAGGTCTCTCTGAATCCTAGCCCTACCCTCCAGCATATCTACTACTCCTCCCAGCTTGGTGTCATCTGCAAACTTGGTGAGTGTGCATTCTATAACCAGGGTCAACAAGGGACTAGACAAATTTAAGGTATTAATAGGTAGTTATATGCATTGAATTAATAGATATTAAACAGAATAGTCAAAGATGCATCCTCGGCATCTCTGACCCAAAGATGGTGGATGCTAGGGAGTATAATATACTCTAGATATACCTGGTTCAGTGCTTTCCCTTTAATGCATCTACTCCTGCCACTGTCAGAGATAGGACACTGGGCTAGATGGACCATTGATCTGACCCACTATGGCGATCCTTATGTTCATGTTAATTGACATTTTTCCATGTTTGATTTCTCTGCAGTATGGATACACCCTAGCCTGGTACTCTTTTCAACTAATAGTCAAAGAAAGGGGTCATGTTCTGTAGTAGTTGTGGTTATGAGAGATGGTCACTTGTTCAGGTCCATACACTTGAGGACATGGGTCCCATCACTATTAAAGCTCAGTTTCAAGCAGAGCAATATTTATGCATTGTCTGTCCTTTTCTCTGCTTTGGAGGATTTAAAAGAGGGGTCCCATCACTCAGCTCTGTGTCCTCCATTAGGATGTTACTTGGAATCTATGCAGCTAATCAGCTGTAAGAACCCTAGCTATGATACTAAGTGATCATACTGAATTCACTTGCATACTGCTGCACCTCCTCTGCCTCCTCCCCACCAAAAAAATCAGCCCTCCTAAACTGGGGTGTCTCTCCTAAGCAGGGAAGCTAATTTGTCTTTGCTGGAAAATTAGATGCAGGCAGAAGCTGCTGCAAGATGGTTGCTGTGCTCCCTCTGCCAGTGTCAGGGAAGGAGGGCAGTGGAGTTCACCCTTCATGGTCAGAGCAACAGCATTAACCCTCTCGCCTCTCCAGCCACTTCAGTCAGGATCCCCTGCAGTTAGCATTTAGCCATGACTGGAACAGTCGTCTTATTCTTTCTGCCTTCCCCAACCAAGGGGTGTGCCTTATTTGGTGGCATGTGAAATGCAAGAAAATATGGTGTTTTCTTTTTTGAGCATCGCTTGCAGATATCCCCATGCTTGGTAATTAAGAAACAGGCCCAAGACCCAGAAGAAATTACTTTGGGGCACCTCACATGAGTAAAGTTTACAGGAGTCTTCTCTCAAATGGAATCTCAGGTCTAGAATAGTGTTGTGTATAGGAGCCTCTTGTGTCAGACCTTCTGTATCCCAGCAGCAGAGACATGCACTTGCAGCTGTCTTAGACCTTGTGGAATGTTCTAGGAGACCTGTTGGTATCAGAATTTCATCTAGTTCTTGGCAAGAGAATACGCAGAGTCGAATCCATTTGGACAGTTTCCAGGTGGAAATTGACTGCTTCAATCAAGATGATTTACGCAATAGCTCAGTTCTGTATGGATAGGCAGGGCAAAGCAGTTTCTGCTGATAATGAGCTGGATTTGGGGAAAAACACAGGCAGGCTATGCAGTGAAGATACAAATCAGAGACCCCTTACCGTCAGAATTTGGGATTTAGGTCAAGGGTCTCCTTATCTGTAGGGAATACCAGCTATGAATGTTTTTCTTGCATGCTGTCTATGCTGATGTCAGAACAACTTCCAGCACCAGAGGATGTCAGGCTCAAATTATGGTTCCCTTCATTTAGAGCTGGACTTGGAGCACCGACCCTGTGTAGGGGGAGCTGGAGCCTCCCCCTTTCTGTATAGCTGTGCAGTTGTTGTTCACTCTGGGGCCCATTGCTTGGGCCCCAGAGTGTGCAAGGCGGCTCATTCTGAAAGGACAGAGGTGCTGGCTCATTCTCCCACTCTCATACACTGGTCTGCAAGAGAGAGATTCCCAGTGTGTCCACCTGTCAGCTCCATCATAATGGAATGGACTGGCCCTCAAGGAGCAGCCCTTTGCCATTGCTGGTGAAGCTTTTGGGGTGGTAGGCCAGTCAGGAGAGGGGTGTTGTGGGGGAAAAGACGAAGAGACATCCCAGCATAGATGTACTCTGGACTTTCTGCTGGTGATGAAATGCTGTTAATCTGGTCAGAGCCTCCTTAATGATTCAAGGTTCTGTTTCCGTGGGCTACACAAGGGTTTAAGAGCTTACAGCAATCATTACTGGGTGGATTAACGGCCATCAATAAGTCCTTGGGCAGAGAAGGCTGAGACAGTGATAAATTACACCTGGGGGGGAGGCTGCTACATGATTCTTATCTTGTTCTTTATTATTCATTGCTAACTAGACTTGTTCTTATCCTAAAAGCCATGTGTCCACAGCGCAATTACATGGCTTGATCCAAGGGCCTTGGAGGACAGTGCAAAGGCTGTCACTGCTTTTTATGCCCAGGTCAGTCAGATACAGCCAGAACCTCTTCAGTCCTGCTTCCCATGTGCCTTAACAGTTATATACCAATTTCATTTAATAGTGGAAACATTTCTTTATATTTCTATGAGCATGGCAGGGTAAGTAAAGCTCTGGGAAGTAATGCTGATCGCTTTCTTCCTCCTGCCTCATCTACTACAAACTATTAACTTGGTTCCAAATACAAGTTCACCTGGCTGTCAAACTGAAACATATATTGTGATTTGGAAAATATACAGATTGGATCTGACACTCAGAACTAATAAATATGGGATCCTGTGTCTTTTTTTTCTTTTCTTTTTCCCCCTCCCCTTTGGAGCTCCTCTACCAGGGAATATTCTCCCTTTATTTTAAATGCTCAGTTTTCCCCTTGCCTGAAATATCATTTGGTTTCCTGGAAGAGGAGAAGTGCCACAAAGATCAGTAAATGTGGTTATTATGGTCTTTTCTCTTTTCCCTTCTTCTGTATTTGCATATTTAGGCCTTTACAAAACATACTTCCATATCTATGTGAGCTGTTTTTAAAGTTCAGCCTGTATTTCAGAGGGTGTAGGGGAAAAGAGTGTAGTCTGACCATGTATATAGATGGAAAGTAATTTTGCCTTGTGTTTCTTTGTCAGTGGAACTGTATAGATTCTTGTTTTCTAGGGTGGGAGAAGAGAAATAACAGCAAATGTAGACGATGAAATCCTGGTTTTATTGATGTCAGTGACAAAACTCCTGGTGACTTCAGTGGAGCCAGTATTGAATAACTCAAATTTATCCTGGGTGTAACTGCAATTAGGTCACTTGAGTTTTACCTAGGCCTAATTCTTCCTAATAAGTGATGTGACTTCCCATCATTCTGTAGACTTCAGCTTCCCCAAAGCCCCATGTGATTCTTGCATGTTCAGATGTATAGTAGGATGTTAACATCTCAAGAGAAATGTGAAGTTTACCTTGCTCTATCTTAGAGGTGGAATAATATAAAGTTGAATACATCTCATTTCTGTGCTATTGAGATAGAATGCAGAGATAAACATTATTTTTCCCCACTTCTTGTCAGGTGATGTTTGCTTCTGTATG